AAAAAAAAAAGCTAAGCAAAGCAAAGTTGGGGGCACGTGCCCACCCCAGCCCCCTTGTGTCCGCCAGTGAATGTTATGCAAGTATTTTTTTCAAGTAGTTAATTCGAGCTACTATTTCTTATCAGATTTATTGTATTATTCTATATAAGCTTCAACATTCAATGAAATGAGTTGGGGCCTTCTCTTCTATTCTGTAGGGATCTAAACTCAAGTAGGTATGATTTTGGTTTAATTACGTCAATGGCCATTGAAGTTTTAAGTAACCACGCAGCGGTCATTTTATTTGTTGTAATAGTAACTCCACTTTCTAACTGTTACACTAGCGTTTAAACCATAGAATGATTAAAATTAAAACCTACATGAAAATGTTAAATGCCATTTTCTCACAAAACTACGTTATTTATTATATGAAGTTAGCAAAATTGGGAAGTTAGGAACTCTGAACTAAAATGAGAACCCTTGTTTGGTAGAAATTAAAATCAGATTTTTAGTAAATTTTGATAAAAGTTGATAAAATATGTGGTTGAAAAGTTGTGAATTTCACGAAGTTCATGTTTGACACACAATATCTAAAAATACATTCATTCAAAACTGATTTTCAACCACACATTTTTAAATGAAATAATATTTTATATTACGTTAATAATTTTTCCTTATTTTTTAACCACATATTTTTCATCATATCACTATTTAAATACATTCTTTCATCAATAATATCCATCAAACACACCTAAAATGTATGATTAAAATTAATTGTTAACTTTTACTTTAGGTTTCAATTGAATTTTAATCCAAACCAAATAGAGGAGTAATAAGACTTTAGTTTTGGTCGCATTCATGGGCTTAAATCGTATAGTAAATCCACGTTTAAAAATTATTTTTTAATGATTTGACATAAATATATAACGTCTTTGTTGATATTTGCACTTAATAATGTCCCATATGATTTAATGTTAATTTTTGTGGCCAATTGTTCTCTAATGTGACACTTAGAATCTGGACCCCCCGCAATTGTTTGACAATAATTTTTTAAAAATTTTTGGGCTCAAATTTTTTTTTTTTTTTAAGTTATCTCCTAATAATCCAGAATTTGTAAGATTACAATGCCTTTGTGAACTTGTTCAAAGTTGGTTGTGACAAAAAAAATGAAGTATACCCGTTATTATACAAGCTTTTGACGTTGGCATTAATTTCTCAAAGTATGAGAACTGGAAATGAAGGTATGATTTTGCTAAATTAAATATTAGTACTTTCTTTTATATGTTTCTTATTTTTTTTGTTAAATATTCGTACATTAATTTATATTTCGTTGTTTTCTTTCTCTATTATAAAGTATCAACTTTCTTCAATTTAACACATAATTGTTCAAAAAAAAATTTCGGGGGCAGCGTGGGTCACCACCCCTTCAACTCCGGGACCCCCCTAGTTCATCGGGCTGGCTCCGCCTCTATCGGTTCAGCACTGAGACTTTAATTTCAATAAATCTTGCCATGACATGTTGATGGATCTCGTAGTGCCATTTTACTTTTGAATGAATCAAAACAAAATTAAATTGACTTCTTGTCCAATATTTTACACCTACACGGAGGAAATTCGAGTTGAACCGTTGCCAAATGGCAAGCATAAAGGGTTCAAGGGAAATGGTCAAGTAAATTACCCGAGTCGTTCTTTTACTAATGGAGCTTCAATGGAACTCTTTTAATTCAATGTCCAAAGTTCCAAATTCATTTTACTTCAACTATTGTCATCATATGGAGTTTAAGTCTTTATTTTTGACCCAATCAACTGAAAACACAGAATTATAATTCGTACTGTGTCTAAATGAATTTTTGACTAAAAATGGGGTTCAAACAAATTCTGAATATGTTTCATTTTTTTTTAACCAAAGAAAAGGTTGAAAATGCCAGCAAAAATAAAGCCCAAGAAAGGTCCATTCGCTCTCTCGTGATTTCATATGGTTTTGCATCAACGAAACACAAAAGCTGTCGAACGATGATTGAAGAAAAAGAAAGAAAAATTAGATTTATGATTATGGTGGAACAATAAATTGTTTTGTGTGATAAATATATTAAAATTCCATTTATTTAATATTACTTAAAGCTATCTAAGTAAATGAAATAATACTTAAAATTGTGGTGTAAGTAACTAATAAAATTCGGGGTGGTAACCCTATTGAAAAATAAGCTATTAATTTTTTGTTTGACTTTAGAGCATCACCTACCACTACTTTGGTACTAGCTTTCTCAGTGCGTTCTCCCTTATCACGTCGCCGTCGGCACTTCACCTTCCCCGTCAATTGACTACCTCCAAAAACCCCTACTCCAAGCCCACTGTTCCCTCGTAAAAGTGTGAAGCTTCGTCATTGAAATTCACGGAATAACCACACCTAGGCCTTTAGATTCTCAACATATAATCAAATGGTGCAAATCATATTCGTGGTTCAATCCTCGACTATTGAATTTCTTTACGAATTATATACATTATACACAAATACTTGCCTTCTTACACGCGTTCCCAAAATGGCGTTGGAGTCGTGGAATGGGGCTGAGTAGGGGATTGGAATAGTTGAAGTGATTTCAATAAGTATCGTAGCTCCTAAATTCATTTAACCTTTCTTTAAACTATTTTTAATATTGATGTGGGATCACCATTTCAAATCAAATGCAGCTGACTCAACAAGAGCAAGAACTGCGACTCTCAATCGTAGGGAACAATAAATTTTAGTTTTGGTTTTTTTTTAATGCAAAATACTGTTGTGACGACTTTTTTTTTATCACATGATTCAACTTTTGAAGAGTTAAAAACGGGTGGTCCATCCATTAAAAAATTGAGTGACAGTGCTCTGCAAAGTGAATCGTTCGGAAAACTGTATACAAGAGAGATGATTTCTTAAGCATCGGAACTCGTCATGGTGCACCTCTTAGTTGGTAGATCAATTAATTTCTCAAGTTTATCGTAAATTCATTTATCAATTAATTAATATACTTTGTTAAGCCAATCATCAATCCCGAGGAGATTGTTTCTCGAGAACAATACATAACTCCTAGTTTTAAAGTTCACATTTCATAAATAACAAACTTATTAAAATATTTCAAAAATCAGGAAGTAAATAAATTTATTAAATATTAAAATATAATATAATATACATTAATTATTTACACCCCATGACACCTCACCCACCC